AATAGAGATACCAAGATTCAGAGTGACTAAGAGACTTGTTGCCTTAGGCACCCAGGGAAAAAATCTAAGAAAGGAACCATGGGGTGTTTGACTCCAGAGACAAACAGCTTAACCTCTGCCTTGCCACTATTCCCATACCAGAGAGGGAAGAGGAATTTTGGTTGAAGAGAGAGAAGAATAGGTAATTTTGGAATATAAGGCACTTGATAACATCATCTATCTATTTATCTATCATCTATCTATCATCTACCTACCTATTTATCTATCTACTCATCTCATCTATCTATCTATCTATCACCATTATCTATCATCTATGTATCTGTTGTCATCACCTGTCACCTATTAGCAATCTCTGTACCTATCTCCTAAGTGGCAAACCTATTGAAAGGGTTGCAAAGCGGTCCTCTCAAGCCTGGTAGAAAAATAATCTGCATGGTTTCCATGTAAGGAAACTGTAAGAAGAAAGCATCATAGCATTACCGGATGGAACAGGTGGAATTTTCCCCAGCACTCTCATAGAATCGGGTACCAACTGCTGTGTCTAATACCTGGAGATTTTTTTTACACAGATCGTTTGGGTAGAGTTTTTAGTAAGTTGTCTTTGTAGTGGGGCCAAATGAGCTCAAAATTAACTCAAGAAGAATAAAATTGAAGAAATCACAAGGCACGTTGTAATTAAATTGCTGAATTCATTAAAGGGAAAAAAATCCTAAAATCAGCCAGAGGAAAACAATGAGTCCATACAGAAGAATGACAATGTCCTTGTCATTGGAACTACTTAAGTTAGAAGAAAACGAGCGAATGGCTTTACTGAAGAGAAAAATGAAAGGTCACAATTTGATTTTCAGTCATTGACTATCTCAAAAAATAAAATACAATAAAGGTCTTCTTCATCCATTTATATTTAAGACAATTCAGTGCTAGCTGACATTCTTTACAAAACTTTGAAAGTAAGCTTTCAAGGATGAAAAAAACACTATTAAAAGTTTGGATATTTTAGACAAAGAAATAACAATATCAGAAATAATAGATAGGTAATTTTTACAAAAAACTAAAAATACTTTGTAGGATTTCAATTTTATTATTTTAATTATTTACACCTATGGATGCACATGCACACACATGTGTACAAATGTGCTAGTGCAAGTACAGCTGTACAGGTGAGTGGAGGTGCCCATAGAAGCCATAGGGGTTATATCTCTTGGAGCTAGAGTTCCAGGTGATTGTAACATGGGTACTGGGAAATGAATTTCAAGAGCAATATGCACTGCCAACTAGTGAGGCATTTCTCTAGACTAAGAAATATGTATATATATATATATGTGTGTGTGTGTGTGTGTGTGTGTGTGTGTGTGTGTGTGTGTGTTCAAAGCACAATAATAGTGAATTTGAGGACCTATAATATGGAAAGTAAACTTGACAGAAAACAATATAAAGATCAGAAGCAGGGAAATAGAGGTCTACCTTTGTAATACAGTTTTCATGACACATGTGATGCTGTATAATATTGAATGTAGAAGGTAAATATTTGGGTTGCAAAGCATAGAGCTACTATTAAAACTTCAAAAAGGAGACCTGGCTCAGAAGCCAATAATGAATATAAAAATAGAATAATAAAAGTTGAGATAAGATAACAAAATTAACAAAAATTAGATGGGAAAATACAAAAAATAGCAGAAGAGTAAGTCCTCCTCTATAAATAACTGCATTAAATGTGAAGATTCAACAGCTCAATTAAAACACAAGACTTTTGGGCCAGTATAAAATCAATATTCATTTATATGCAATCTAAAAGTCTAAGTTAAATATAAAGGAACAGGCAGTTCAGTGGATAATAGAGAGAAAATCATATGATAAAATGATAATTGAAACAGTCATTATTTTCATATCAAATACAGTAGGAAATATGTCAAAGTATAACATATCATCAGGAATAAGAAGGGACATTTCTTACTGACAAAGCTATCAAGTTACCCAAATATACAGTTCTAATTGTATATGTGCTTAATAATAAAACTTCAAAGTCTACGAGATGAAAACTGACCTAGGAAACACTTCATTTCAGTAGTTAATAGAAGAGGAAGGTGTCTAATCACCAAGAATGTACTGGGCTTGAATGACACTCACTACTTGTACAATGTGATTACAATGTTAATGGAACACAATGCTGGCTACTTATATGTCAACCTGACATAAGCTGGTGTCATTTTGGAAGAGGGAATGTCTTTTTTCTAAATTTTTTCCTTTTTTAAAATTTAAGTTGGAAACAAGTTTGTTTCACATGTCAATCCCAGCTCCCTCTCCTTCCCCTCCTCCCCATCCCTCCCCACCAGGCCCCCCAGTCCCCCACCCAATCTCCACTCCGATCCCCTGGTAGAGTGAGGCTCTCCATGGTGCATCTCCAGAGTCTGTCATGTAATCAAAGGTAGGGTCTAGGCCCTCCTTCAAGAGTCCAGGCTGAGAGAGCACAATAGAAAGAACACACCCCTCAGATTTTCCTGTAGACAAGCCTGTGGTATGTTTTCTTGATTAATAATTGGTGTGTAAAGGCGGGCAGTATCATTCCAGGGCTGGTGGTGCTGGCTTCAACAAGGAAACAGGCTGAGCAAAATAACAAGGAGCAAGCCAGTTGGCAGCATTCTTCTCTCTCTCTCTCTCTCTCTCTCTCTCTCTCTCTCTCTCTGTCTAATTCTCTATATTCCTCCCTCCCTCCCTCCCTCTCTCTCTCTTCCCTCCCCCATCTTTCTCTGTTATTAGTTTCTGCCTCCAGGTTCCTTTCCTGAATTCCAGTCCTGACTTCTCTCAATAGTGGATGGTAATCAATGACGTGAAATAAACCCCTTACTCCCCAAATTGCTATTGACATTTTATCATAGGAATAGAAACCACCCCACATGTGACAGACACTTACAACAATATGCACATTCTTTCCAAGTGGAATGTGAACATTTATCAAGTAAGACTGTACTCTCAAAGTATGTCTCAGCGAATGCAGAGGGATTGAAAACCTAGACATTGAAAATGCCTTCTATGCTCACAGTAAGAGTAAGTGGAAAATCAACATGAGAGACATGTCTGAAGATTTCTCATATATTTACACCAATTAAATATCACATTACTAAATAAAGCATGGGACAGATAAAAGTTTACATAGCATAATGGAAACTACCTTAAACTAAATGAATACTTCATAATGAAATTTGTGAGATGTAGCTACAGATGGTTAGAGATAATTGATAGCAATAAGTTCTTTCATTTGTAAGACTGTAAAAAATCAGGCGATGGTGGCACACATCTTTAATTTCAGCACTCAGGGAGGCAGAGGCAGGAGGATGTCTGTGAGTTTGAGACCAGCCTGGTCTACAGAGTGAGTTACAGGACAGGCAGAGCTACATAGAGAAACCATGTCTTGAAAAAAAATCCAAATGCTATTCACCCCAGTGTAAGACCAAATTAATCCCAGAGTAAAAACCAAACAAACAAAACAAAAAAGAATAAATAGTAGCTATTACAGAATAGGTTATGAAATGGAAAAACATCAATAAAAACAGTTATTTGAAAGAGCAATGAAACTGAAAAAGCTATAACCAAACTGATGAAGAAATAAAGGAGGACAGATGACAGCTTCAATTGTCAGTAACCACACTGAGAGAGATGCATCATTACAGCTCATGCAGACATTAGGTGATGAGTAAGGGAATAAAATGAGTAACTTATGCAGCCAATTTGCTATTAATATGAAATTAACAACTTCTTGGAATATACAAGTCCCAGAAGCACACCAAATGTGCAGATGACTTCAGTGATATATTCTACAAAATCTTTAAAAGAGAAAAATGTTCATGTTACACAAATTCTTTCTGGGAAAGACAGGCTCTTCCTAAAATTCCCCTGGGAAACCAGAGTCAGACCCAGCTACAGACAATTCAAAATAAAATTTCTAAAAACACAGTCCTTAACAATATTTCTCTTAATGGTAGAGGCAATGTACTTTTACAAAATTTTAGTGAAACAAATACAATTAGGACTTTGTTCAGCAAGATATGGATGACTTAATATAGGGACATCAATGCACTTTACCTAACGTTATCACGAGGATAAACCACATGTATAAAAATCATTTAACAAAGTTCAACAATTATAAAAGAATAGCAAATTAAGTAACAAACAAAAATACCTTAGTAAATTTAGATATGAAAGAAATTTCTTCTACCAGACAAAGGGTCCTTACAAAAAAACAAAATAAAATAAATATAACAGCACTAAATATAGATAACAAAAATTTTTCTTGGTAAAATTCTCAATGTTTTCTTACATTAAAATATACAAGGTCAAAATGTCTATTTTTCAACTTTCGATATTTTAAGTTCTCTGTATTGCAATTAAAGAAGGATACATAAAATATATACATACAGGAATGATTTGTTTACAAGCATCATAGAAGGATATAAATAAAAACTTCAAAAAGGTGAATTATAAAACAGACTATAAAGTGAATTTAGACACATTTTTAGGACATACACTCAATATGCAGAAACATCTGTCATAAAAAATGTAAACATGCCCTTGGATAGGTAGGATCAACGTAGTAAAAATGGCAATCCTTAGCCGGGCGGTGGTGGCGCAAACCTTTAATCCCAGCACTTGGGAGGCAGAGGCAGGCGGATCTCTGTGAGTTCGAGGCCAGGCTGGACCGACAGCCTCCAAAACAATACAGAGAAACCCTGTCTCGTAAAAAAACAAAAAAAAAATGGCAATCCTGCCAAAAGCAGTCTACAGATTCAATGCAATCCCCATTAAAATACCAGCACAAGGTTCTTTCACAGACCTTGAAGGAACAATAATCAACAATGTATAGAAAAACAAAAGACCCAGGATAGCCAAAACAGTCTTATTCAACAAAACAACATCTGGAGTGTTGGCTTTATGGACGCTGTAACGATATGCGACACACAGTTACTGAAAGGGAAGCTAAGTATTTAATTTAGAAAATTACTCACACGATACCAAACCCCGAGAAGCCCAGCAGATCTCAGCTAGCGACTGGACCGGAAGCCGAACTCCAGGAAAAGAGAGCGAGACTTCCTGTGCGCTGTCTTTTATGCCTTCCCCCCCGTAACGCCCCTAGCCATGCCCAAAAGTGGGCCTGGCTAGTGACGTAGTTCCGCCTACATACGTATACGTCTTTACGTCCAGCCGTATACGTCTTTAGTCCTGCCTAAAGTGGGTGTGGTTAGCGGTGTGGTAAACCGCCCTTTTATTACCTCATCTGTATGCGCCTCTAGTAAGTCACATGTTTAATGGCGGCATCAGACTTCCTCCTACAATTCCCCTTTTAGTCTAAAAAAAGGACAACTAACTTGTGTCCATGAACAAAATGTATCAAACATCTATTCTATCTAAACCTAAACTTATCTTAAAGAAACACCCAAATATGAACACCTCCTCCCAATCCCAACTCTAAAATAATTGAAAACTAACACTAACAGGTGTAATCTTATAATATCAATAGTAGGGAGAGGGGGCGTGGAATTCTCAAAACTACTTCCTGCTGAGATGGGACGATGATAATCTCATGGGGACCTGTGAAAAGAAAATGTTAGTATAACAAAATCTGAGTAGATCAGACAGTCTCAGTATGGCAGGAGATGCTTGATTGAAGTTCCTGACTGGGGTTCTAGTGTTGATTGAAGCTCCGGTCAGATTGTGGAAGATGTGCTGTTTCAGTTTCTTGGTCCGGAGATGTGTAGAGTGATGTATTTTCAAGCCAGTTTCAGGATAGTGCTTGTCAGGTGGAGTCAATGATGTGGGGCAGTTCAGATGCCTCCAGTCGAATCAGGTGAAGTCAAGGATCTCTTTCGGAAGCAGTTGAAGATTGCTGTCAGGAAATCCCTTGTTCTCTGGAAAACTCAAACATTACTGTTAACAAAGAAATATTTTAACTTTCATATGTATGCATACAGAAGAGGTAACAATAGGGAAGATGGAAAACCTGGAGGAAATTAGACTGTTCAGAAAAAGAAATCCACAGATAATAGTCCCTCATTTTATTTCTTCTGTCTTATATCAATGGCTCTTTGATATAATACAGAAATTCTGAATTGTATTTAAATAACATGCTTGGGTTTAGAGTAGGAGAGCCAATCCAACTCCAAAGCCAGCTTCAGTTAAATGAATGGGAATTGAGGTATGTGAAGAAATAAAGATAAAAGGATACTATGAAAAGCAATAGAGAGAGATTTAGACTTTGATACCACACAGTGTGTATTTGATGGTCCTCAGGGTAGCTATTCATTCCTCTACAGGAATCCATGTGTCCAGTATTCTTTGCTGAGTTTACCTGTGAGGACAAAAACAAAGCACTTCTCTTTCCTTTTAGGTGGTCACTTTACCCATTGTGGACTATGAATTTGTAGATGGGCTGTTATCTTCCTCCTCCTGAGATGTTTTCTGTTCTGATCGAATTTTAATTAATTTTGATGGAACCCAAACCTTTTCTTCTCCTGTGGAAACAAAAGCATAACCCCTTCCCCAACGTAACACATATCCTGGTTTCCAGACTGAGGTCATAACATCCTTAAAATACACCGGTTGGTTCAGTTCAGAAGTCTTCTCTGTAGTCCAGTGTCTTTCTGCTGCAGTTTGTCCTTTTTCATCAGCATTAAGAAAATTCAACGTTAGTAAAGCATTGTGTAACCTGTGTCTAGGTGTCTTTGTTTTCCCTGGCTGTTTATGAAGCATCTCCTTTAAGGTTCGGTTAGACCTTTCAATTATTGCTTGTCCTGTGGGATTGTAAGGTATACCAGTTACATGTTTTATATTATAATATTTGAAGAATTGTTCCAATTTACTGGAGACATATGCTGGACCATTGTCAGTTTTTATTGTTTTAGGTATACCCATAACAGCCATTACCTCTAAGAGGTGTGTAATAACAGAGTCAGCTTTTTCAGAGCTGAGGGCAGTAGCCCATTGGAAGCCTGAGTACGTGTCTATAGTATGGTGTACATATTTCAAACTGCCAAATTCTGGGAAGTGAAATACATCCATTTGCAAAAGTTCATTTCTGTGAACACCTTTAGGATTACAACCTGCTGGTAATGGAGTTTGATTGTACAATGAGCAACTGGGACAATTTCTTACTATTTCTTTGGCTTGTTGCCAGGTGATAGAAAAATCCTTCTTTAAACCTTTGCTGTTAACATGGTGTTTCTTATGAAATTCTGAAGCTTCCAACACATTACCTACTAATAAACGATCAATTTCATCATTGCCTTGTGCCAGAGGACCTGGCAGACCTGTATGGGATCTGATGTGTGTTATATATATAGGATGAGTCCTGTTTCTGATGATTTCCTGCAATTGTAAAAACAATGAGGTTAATTCTGTATTATCAGGAACAAATTCTGCAGTCTCAATGTGCAGGACAACTCTTTCTGCATACTGAGAATCCGTGACTATATTGAGAGGCTCTGTAAAGTCTTTAAGTACCATGAGAATGGCATATAACTCTGCCTTTTGTACGGAGTTGTAAGGGCTTTGAACTACTTTACTTATATTTCCTGATTTATACCCTGCCTTACCTGATTTGTTTGCATCCGTGTAGAAGGTAAGAACTCCAGAAATAGGTGTTTGCCTCACGATACGTGGAAGAATCCAAATTGTTTTCTTTATGAATTTGATTCTCTCTGTTTTGGGATAGTTATTACTAATACTTCCCAAAAAGTCACTGCAAGCTATTTGCCAATACTCATTATCCTTCCATAAGGAGGAAATTTCCTCATTCGTTAACGGTACAATAATTTCAGCTGGGTCTTTCCCAGTCAGTTGACGAAGCCTTAATTTACCTTTTAATATCAAATCAGATATCTTTTCTATATATGTTTTCAATTTTTTATTTTGTTTATGTGGCAGAAATACCCATTCTAGAATGATGTCGTCCCTCTGCATTAATATTCCTGAGGGGTATTCTCTAGATGGTAAAATAACCAGAATACAGTCCAGATTTGGATCCACACGGTCCACATGTGCTTCTAATATTCTCTTTTCTACCCATTCTAATTCTTTTTCAGCCTCAGCTGATAGTACTCGTGGGCTGTTTAGGTCTTTATCTCCTTTTAAAGCCATTTTCAGGTGTTTTAAATCATGCCCTTCTACACCAATAATCGTCTGTAATTGAGAGATTTCTCCTAATAGTTTTTGAAGATCATTAAGAGTCCGGTAACGATCTCTTCTGATCTGTACTTTCTGTGGTCTAATTTTCTGAGCATCTATTTTATAACCTAAATAGTTAATAGAATCTCCTCTTTGTATTTTTTCTGGGGCAATTTGTAATCCCCAGCGAGGCAAAATTTCCTTTACTGCCTCAAACATCTTTTCCAAAGTATCCTTATTTGAATCAGACAATAATATGTCATCCATATAATGATATATTAACGAATGTGGAAATTTTTTACGAATTATTTCTAGAGGTTTATTCACAAAATATTGACACAAAGTTGGACTGTTTAACATACCTTGAGGTAGTACCTTCCACTGGAATCTCTGTACCGGACGGGAATTATTATAGGTAGGTACTGTGAAGGCAAACTTTTCTCTGTCGTTTTCTTGTAACGGTATGGTGAAGAAACAATCTTTTAAGTCTATAACTATAATTGGCCAATCCTTAGGAATTAGAGAAGGTAACGGCATCCCAGGTTGTAGAGACCCCATAGGCTGAATTACCTTGTTGATGGCTCTAAGATCAGTAACCATTCTCCACTTACCAGACTTCTTCTTGACAACAAAAACAGGCGAATTCCACGCACTAGTTGATTCCTCAATATGTCCAGCATCTAGCTGTTCCTGAACTAACTTCTCCAAAGCCTCTAACTTCTCAGATGTCATAGGCCATTGACCCACCCAGACGGGTTCATCTGTCAGCCATTTTAATGGTAGAGCTTTTGGTTGCTCTGTAGGTTTGGCACTAGCATCTTGCTTCTGCACAGCCTGTACATTTGGCATCTGTTTTCTGTACTGTCTTACTATATTCTTACTACCACTAAGAGCTTGTCTATAATTCCTAGCTGATACAGGAGGAATTTTAATCTGCGTATTCCATTGCTGGAGTAGATCACGACCCCAGAGGTTTATAGCAATATCTGCAACGTATGGCTTTAACCTTCCTCTCTGTCCTTCTGGCCCAATAAAGTCAATCCATCTAACGCTCTGTTTAACTTCAGATAGGGTTCCGATCCCTAAGAATTGAACATTAACCTCTTTTAAAGCCCAGTTTTGTGGCCAGGACTGCTGATTAAGGATAGTGACGTCACTTCCGGTGTCCAGTAATCCGTAAATCACCCTATTATTTACCTTAACCGGAAGTTTGGGTCTATGATATTGTATAGAAGTTTGCCAAAATATATGTTTTGTATCTCCTCCTGATGTAATTGATTCATCCTCTGGAGCTAATGTATTATCCAGTGCCGTATTATTTACAATGGGCAGTGGATCTTCTAATTGTCCTGGGAGAGGCTGTCCTCCACTGTCACTGGGAATGACCGGATAATCTTCCTCTTCGGGGCTCCATGGAGCCCCGGAAGCCCGTTTCCCTGCTGTAAAGATCTACCTTGTCTGTCTATTGTGGAAAAGCATTCATCAGTCCAATGGCGCCCCTTCCCACACCTCCTGCATAGACCAGGAGGCTTAGGCCTTCTGTTTGATACATTCCTGGTAAAAGCATTATTTCTAGGAATGCGTTGTCTACAGTTCCTACTAAGATGTCCTATTCTACCACAGTTAAAGCATTTTGCATCTTTACGCCTATTTAAATTCTTTGAGATTGCCTTCCCTACCCATGCCTCTATATCATCACAGGTAGGGTATTTGGCATCCTGGTGCCTCCTCAAACCTGTAGAAATAGCTTCACCTACCCAAGCTCCTGTATCCTGACTTTTACATTCCAGGTTCGCTGTATGCAGAACCCATTCCTCCAATGGTGCTGATCTTATTTTTAATGGCCAAATTACCTGCCTGCATTGAGGATTCGCGTTCTCATACGCCAAAGATTCT